ATCAACACAATAACCAGGGATAACCACGAAAACGCTTTCTTTGCGTCCAAAAGAACAGAGAAGAAGCACTGGATATATTCATCTCCGATGTAGCCCTCGTAGCAGTGGGTCCACGCGGCTGCTGAAAGAACGCCATTCTTATCGTTGAGACAGAGAGAGGGAAGCTGGTAGGTAAGATTTCCTCCCTTTAGTGTCGGGTACCTCCCGCATATCATGTTATCTGTATACCCACAGGATGGTCGTCGTGACGTGATACATTTCTTGTTATTAGAATGGAAAAAAATAATAAATCTTTCCAAGTGTGGCGCAAGAAAAAGAAAACAGACTGTAGTCTAGTCATTGAGAGAACTTGCTATCATAGCTCACTCATGAGTGAATGTTCTCGTCTTAGAGGTCGGTTGCGAATAACACGACGAGCCATAAGGTTGGCATCGGCAGAGACCTTCAAACTCGGTGACGACTGCCCTACAGAACGAGCGCACACATGCTACGCGTGGTGTTTGAAAACCCCAAAACGTTGGATGTTGTGGTATGCATGTATGTATGTGTATTTTGTCGCCCGGACCGTCTGCACCACTGCGTCAACCATTTTCGGTCACGTCTGCCGCACCGCTGGGTAGGACCTTCGACCCCTCACGCCATGAACATTCGACAAGGGGCAAAACATGTAATCCAGGGAACACCATCATGTCGTGTCATCCTGTGCCAAATAGGCCAACCCTCAATGCTACATCCAAGGAAACTTATTACATAACCCACGAAATCTGGCCATACTTGTAGCGAAAATGCCATGACCCTCATTAGACTTCGTACAAAATGCAAACAAACCCGTGTCACCCACTCCTCCAGGTATCTATAATACTGAGTTCCGGTTGTTGCCTGAGCTCTCACATCAACAAAAAACTGCGCGTGCCATATGTTATGTTTGGGTGAGACTCCGTCTTGTCGTCGTCCTGTGCAACGACTATGAAATATACAACAATTACGACTTGTTACAACGACAAAAAACTTGTGGCGGCATCTGCAACTGCCAATCAATGAAACCTTGGTTCGTCACGCTTCATAAAGGCAACAGCCCCCGCCCCCTGCCCGATAATTGTCTTCACGCCCTCAACGATTCTCCCCAAGAGGGTCGGTCGCGTCTTCTTGTCACGCAAGACCCGACGAAATTATAGAAAGCGAGACCGATAAATACAAAAACACTCGATTGCGCGGCCGGCGTAGGTTACTTGAAGAGTGTCGCCGCAGCACCCGGAGGAGCTGGGCGTCTTCTGACGTGAGAAAGACGGGACAATCTTTCCGAATACATAAACCACGGGAGGGAGAAAGGCCGGGGAAAAACAAAATTAGAACTCGAACGAGAACGCCTCGGTGTCGAAGAGCTTCCAGTCGATCGCGCGGGACTCGGCGAGCACCCCGTCCACGAGCGAGTTGGGTCCGCTGGTCAGGACCCTGACGGACGAGGTGTTGCTCTTTTTGGCGAGCTCGGCCTCCCGGATCAGGAGGGCCTGCGTGGGCACGCGGCCCGGGTTGACGTCGTAGGTGACGCTGCCGACGCCGGCCACGGTGGAGGACTCGAGGTCCATCTTGGACTCCTCGCCGACTCTGGCGGAGCGCCCGCCGGCCTAAAACAAATGGCGTTGATGAAGGTATACGGGGTTGGTGATGAGTGAGCGGCCGCAATGACGACGGTGTGCGATAACGAGGCGAAATAATGAGGATGCACAGTGGGGGGCTGTTGAAGCAGCAGTGCCATATTGTCCGTGTCTATCAGAAGAAGAGGCGGTTACCTCGAGTTAAATGAACACAGCGACAATATTATGTAGGTTGCGACAAGGCGAATTTAGGAAGGGGAACGGTTGCAGAAACAAGATCTAGCAGTATCATGAACCAACCAGACATGATGGCTGCGCCCCCCCCTCGGGGATGCTTCGGCGTGTTCCACGGAACACAAGCAGCACCTGACTCGATCGTGATATGATCAATTCTCGATTACACGAAGGATCACGTGACGGATCCCGCGAAAGCGTAGCACCACCGCGTAATGCCGTATCGACCAAAAACATTAACAACGGCTTGCGGACTCCCATTCACCTGCGATGCTTCGGCGCTGTCCACACGCTTGCCGAGGAGGTGCTTACGGACTAAGAAGAAGAGCCAATCGTACACGATCAGGGAGCTGATGATGCAGATCACCATGAGGACGAAGATGATGGCCCCCTCGTGGAACACGTTCATCAGGTCCCGTCGGTCCACCTCCCAGTAGCCCAGGATGTATCCCGCGAAAGCGGCGAGACCTGTCATGTCGTATGCATTGGTGGTACAGTGGGAAAGGCCTGTTTAGTGCCGGTGCCCGGTACTGTGCTGGTTTGTTGGCCGGCACAGAGTGAAACAACCAAAGTTGTTTTGGACTCTGAACATTACTGACGGTGTCTGGCCGATTCCCTGGGCACCTGACGAAACAACACACTTAACTATTAATCGCGTATTTCTCCGCGTGGAGGACCTCGGCCAACACCAACTACCGCTGGTTACCTCCCACGCATGTGGTCGCACACAACAAAATGCCGTTGTTGGGAAATTTCCGGAGGCCTTTCGTCCGACTCGGTAGTGTGCGGGGCCCTACAGGGTGGACAAACACAATCAAGTATCAACATGAGATGGCCACCACATTGCGTTTGGCTTTACATGGTGTACACATGTTGACGTGTTGCTTTCTCACCCGCCACGACAACGCGAACGCTGTGGTTGAGGCTGGCGGCGACGTGGCCGGTGCCGATGACGTTATCCTGGGTGCTAGTGTGGGCGTAGGCGTTCGCGTCCAGGGGCCATGTGACGGTGAGAGATTCGTTGCTGTCAGCCTTTGGTGATGTTGGGCGATTGTTTCGCCATCGGTGTTGGGGCGAAGAAGTTTCAGGGAAGCCAGAGAGCCAGAGAGCCAGAGAGAGGGAGGGAGAGAGATAGACGTACAGACGGACAGGGCGCGAGAGGAAACCTGAGATTGGGGTAGGTGCGATCTTCACGTTCCAGAAATGCATATTCTAGCGAGCGTCGATGCCATTTTCCGAGCCGCAGTAGTGAAAACCCAGCAAGGGTTAGACTACTTTTCCAACGGCCCTTTAGTGCAACTGCATTGAGACTAGTTGTGCTTGCCCACAACGACAAAGCTTTGCGGCTTCGCCATCGCGCCTATCTCGCCGCTGCAGAGTATATTGACGGCACCGGGTGACAAAAGCTACGCGGAAAACCGAGAACAACAACAGCTCGGCAGGGCACACCTTGCTGCTGCTGCAGTAGAGGGACATCGAGAAGTGCGTGTCCTTCTTGCTGCCGGCGCTGGCGAGCACGGAGGGGAGACACTCGCCGACCAGTTCCATCTCCGACATGTACCGGCAGCACCAGGCCAGGTTTACCTCCGGAACGTCGGCGCCTTCCCTTGCGGCGACCGCCCAGTCCTGAGAAAGAGGGTCAGGACCGACGGGGCGCATTGAAAATCCTGCACCACTGGTGGTCGCTACGTACCACTCTTCAAGGGCACATAACGCTCTCATGACGCATTTGTTTCGTTCATAAACGTCGCCTGTGTGTAAGGTAGCATGGCCGGCGCTGCCCAACCTCTTGAAAACACAAACTGAGGCTCCCGGTACCGAGCTGTCGCCGTAGACTTTGTATTCCAACTTCCGATCCCCGGGAATGGGACCGCCGCCAAAATACCCTCGTACCCTCTCACCTGGATGAATCCCATGAGAGAAGTCATTCCCGACCCCCCGGCAACCACCATGACGCGCGACGTCCCCCCCGCGACCTTCATGGAGCTGAACGACTGGACCTGGGTGTAGAAGCCGTCCACGTCCACCAGTAGCGAGCGAGCGTCCCCCGCGGCCTCCGCGCCCCTTGCCGTGTCCTTCAGGGTCTTCGTCCATTTCCCGAGGTCCTTGATGTACACGGTGAAGACGTCGTTCTCGTCCTCCTGGGCGGCGCTGTTTCTGCCGCTCGAGAGTTTCGCCGCGTGTGAGAAGGAAGGGGGGGCTCCGCGGAGTGCAACGGTGATGGCGTGGGCCTCGTCGGTGCCGAGCGCGGCGGGGACGCTGATGTACACGAAGGATCCCCCACGGGCGGACCTGTCGCCGCTGTCCCCGACGCCGCCCGGTCTTGGGGTTGCGGAGCACCAGCCGCGTGTAGTTGTCGTTCGTCGCCACGCTGACGAGGCTGGTCGGGCTGGCCTTGCTGGCGTCCGAGCTGAACCATCGGTTCCAGTAACGCCACCTGAGCGGGAGTAAGCGAGGGGGTGGGGTGGGGGGCGATTTGATTGGGAGAGTAGATGAGGCTCTTGTCGGCAGCAGGTCACGTGGCTCGAACGTGCCAGTTGACGTGTATTTAGAAGGAAGGAGGACGAAGTAGCGTATCCACGGGATTCGGCGAGGGGGAGGACTGACGCTTTACCGGCCAGAAGACTAGGAGCCACGCAGTACGAATGAATATGTGGCGAAGGGTAGGCGCGAGGCATGGATCGGGCTTGCGGGAGGATGGCTGAGAATCAGGTCGACATTCTCCCAGTCAGTCTCGGTATGCATACGCTTCGTTCGTGGTGAAGCTCGAATGCCATGACGCACGGTCAAGGATGAACCAGGCCTCATCATCGGCACAACAGGAGAAAGCACTAGACTCACCGCTTCCACGACTCCAATCTCGACAGCACGTGCATGATGTACAGCGTCAACCCGCCCAGGAAGTAGAGCGCGTTGGGAGCCCACTGAAGCGCAGGAGCGAAGAATCAACAAACGATCACAGACGGCGATACAAGAGAGAACCTTAGGGATAACTGCCACCGCAGGTGACAGCAAGGATCGGTGAATGCGCATAAGTCCGCATGCTTGAAGCATTTCCTGCTTGTTGCAAGCGACCACTGAATGAAATGTTGAGTGAGAGTGGACCAAACACACGTGCACGGTGAAACTACATGAACGAGAGACGTCGGGCGGGGGACCACGTCGTTTTTGCAGAAGGCAAATTTGGTCTGCCCCAGAAAACACAAAACAGCAGAACTGTTCCAATACGTAACTGGATGCACCTAGTCTTAAACCCCTATTTCCCGTAAGTAGAATGAAGGACTATGTCCGGGTCTCGTCCTATATATGCACCCGGCTCACCCCCCCCCTCTCCCTTCAAAATTATGAAGATGATACAATGTCATGTACGCACGTGCATGACGCTGAACACGAAGACGCCGATGAAGAGCCAGTGTGCGAGCTTGAACAGGCTGTAGTACTTTCGCCGGACCCAGTTCACCGAGGTAGCCCACATCGGGATCGCGCAGAGTCCAGCCATCCAACCCATGGGAATGTCCACGCCTTGGGCACAAAGAAGGTGTGGGAGGAATGGGACGACAAGGTGGAGCGTGTGGGTAGAGTTGCTTAGTCCTTGGTACATCCGATTGTCGATGACCGGTGGAACCATAGATAGGGCATGGGATAGTTTCTGGCTGGGGGGGCAGGGAAGGAGTCAAGCACTGGAGAGGTTCTGGTGTTTATTTTCTCGTGTGTTGTCACGACCCCTTCATCGTTTCGCGTTGCGACCACGGGTGATGATTGCGGGCTCACCGGTGCAGGAAAAACGGAAAGGAGCATGCGGCCGGGCACAAGATCGGCCGCTACAATATCCGTCAATGGAGCGAGCGGCTCATTGCCATATCACCACCAACAACAACGTCAAGCATAAAGACGACGACTCGTCTACCCACGCACCACACGTACATACATGTAATATGTTAGATTCGAGACGCAGATATTCGAGACACCGGCCTCTTCCGCGTTAGAATACTGCCAGGTTAAGATCTTGTAGTAATGCCTTGGGACGAGTAGGGCTAGAGGGGTTTCCTGAAGAGCCGTAGGCGCCTACCTCCGTGGGTGTTGGGGTCGAAGTGGATGGACTCGTGGACGGCGTGGCTCCAGCCCTCGTACTGGACCCAGTGCGCCGTGAGGAGGAGGGCGTGGAAGAAGAGGGAGGTGAAGGCGAGGTGGCCAGCGATGGCGTGGTAGAGCACGGCCCGCTCGAACGGTACCCCGAGGGCCGACCAGATCTTGCTGTCGCGGGATACCGGAACCAGGATGATCGCGAAGTGGGAGGAGCACACCAGCCCCATGAAGATGCCAATCATTCTCAACCTGTTTTTGCCCGACAACGGGGGCCGATGGTTCAGCAGGAGGAAGGATCGTGGCACATCCGGAATACGATCTCTCGGTACGAGACGCGGAACGGATCGTGAAATTTGGAACGGAATAAACAAACGCCTAGGGAGGACTTACTGGGGTAAGAAAGTGAACCCAAAGACAGATTCGGATGTGAGCAAAACTCGGTAACGGGGACGATACTCACCACCAAAAAATGGGCGGACGCCGCGCTTGCTTATATGTATATCAATGCCAACACGCGTGAGGTGCGAATGAATGAGTGGGTACACGTGGGCCGCAGTACTGTAGTCTACCATTGTGGTTAAGACTTCGACACATCCCTTTCGACTGTGGTGTCGTCTCGAAACGTTAGTGTTGTGATTGCAATTTTCGAGGCAGGTGCGTGTTCTTTTGCGCGGGAAGACAAGAGGTTCGGTATATGATCATGTACGTGCAACGTGGCTTGGTTACCGAGCGGAAGAACGTGGCTTGGCTTGTACGACAAATCGGACAAATCGTAGCTTTTCGTCACTCCCGAGAGACAATCGAAGTCACTGACACTACAACGTGAGTTACCAGGTTAGGCACTAGACCACCGGGGTGGAAAGTATATCCTTAAGAACTCACGAGGCAACGTGGCGATGCGAAACGTGTTTGGAAGGCAACGGGAAGAAGAGAAGAACAACGAGCTATAATGCCGCGATCCGGTGGCGATCAGCACAAGCAATGCGCCACCCTTCGGATGGGAAATCAAAACAAACTTTCTTCCACAATCAACCCTCGACGTAATGACGCCACCACTGCTGCCCCCAACACATCCCGAATGGGATGCTTCCTCAAGCGGGCAGTCTTTACATTTAGATTGTATTATGCGGCTTAGCCGTCGATTATCGGACCATCAGTTTGGGTCCATTTCTTGCACCGACGTGGCACCTGAACCGTAGCCTCAGCGCATTTTCTTACATCGTCGATGATGTTTCACTCACACAATGAATGAAATTGCGTCATTTCGTGGTACGGACTGGTGCAAACAGGCTGTCAATCAATACGCGCTCAGTTACAGAGGTGGAATTGACATATTCACTCTGTCTGGTTGTGGTGAACCGTCCTTTGCAACATCACGTGTTTTGTCATTCGTCCGATGTAGTCTAGAAGCATGCACGATTGATTGATTGAATATTCATTTTGTGCGGCACACAACGTCGACACACAGACGAAACACAAATATTTTCTTGTCCGAAACAAATCGAGAACCGAACACGACGAACTTACCTGTATTGGTTCGGTGTAGGCCCTCCGGACTCGAAAGAGAACTGGTTGCACCATTGGGTCGGATCGTCAGGGCACACCATGTAGATATCATGGAAGTGGTTGCCGTGGTTCAGCACCCCTGGAGCGTGACGGCGTCCGTAGCAAGGGAGAGGACAAAGAGCGGAGAATTTCATTCATACAAATCTGCGTGTCATAGACCCATGCAAGAAAGAATACCCGTTCGATCGGGACTTCAACAGAAAACGGCCCTTTGGTCCCTCATCATTGTTTTGGTGGGCCGAAAACGAGTGGCTGCATCATAGCATGCGTGCAGCAACTGCAAGATAAACGGAGAATAATTTCCGGATCCACTGAAGAAAAGACACGGCTCGCTGCAGCAGTTCTCTGTGACGGCTACCAGCGAGGAGTTCACCGACCAAAAGCTCGGCCTGAAAGGGGGCGGGGTCTCTCTCTGCACTACTAACCTTGCCAGCACTGGGATCCCATGGCGAGGAGCCACAGGGTAAGCACGGTGGTCTCGCCCACGGTTAGCCACCTGATTGGCCAATACAGAAAGAAATGCGTCATCAGGAAGATAGATCGTGTCGCGTGGCGCCCCAAAGTCGTTGCGCATTTCTCGTGGGCATGGCCAGGGGAGCGAGTGCACCACGTAGCAGCAGTTTTCTTGAAAAGCACGCGTCGTGGTTACAGCATGTTGACCAGGCGATGGTGACGGGCTTGCTCTCTCTCTCCCCACGAGCCCGGTGCTGTGTGTTGTTGCGCGACAGTTTTTTCCGAGGGCGTCGAGGGAACGGCATCACCCGTCCATAAACATGTGCATGCACATTTAACAGGTTTGGTGCGACACACCACACACACACAGGTTTGTCACAACGGCAGCAGGTGACTAAAGGTGACTAAAGATTTGTTCTGCTTGGGCTGTTGCTTAAAGAACTCACGGGGAGTACTGGCCCAAGGGTCGGTACTGGTA